TGGTGCATGCTTTTAATCCCAGCACTAGAAAGGCTGAGGCAGGAAGATCATGAGTTCAAGGGTAGCCTGGGCTCTTTATAGGATTTTAAGACAGCCTAGCTTGTGAGACCCTTTGCCTACTTCTCCTTCCCATACTCAAACCCCAAAAGAAGCATTGTATGATAATGTCCATTTATATTAATAAGAACTGGGTTTATAAGCCCTGCAACAAGCTACTATTAAAGGAAATGCCAGCACCTACTTTACAGTGTGTCAGAGCCTCCAGTGCCATAAAAAATGGCACCACACACCCCTCAGTAAGTGTGCATGAACTTAAATCTGAACCCTACCACAGGAATAAACATTTCAGGCTTAGCAAAATGAACTGAGTCTTGGTGTTGCTACTTAAAAATATTTGTTCTATCATTTTACATCTCTGTATTGGTTTGTGAGTATAAATATTCATCAACTTAAACAAATAGTAGGCTTTTATAAATCTTGAAGTTTACATGAAAACAGATTTTTTGAAGTTTTGTTGAATCTCATGCATGTATGTGTGGGTGAGTTCAGAGCAACAAGAAACTTAACACATTAAACTAAACACTAGTTTGTATTTGACTAGTATAATTTGCTAATAACAAATCTTTTTCATAAATTAGTATAATGTATAGTTGTAAAATTCAAGGTAAAAATAGGAAGAAAAAAGAAAAATCTGAAAAAAATAGGCAGGTAATATTTTCCCAGTTTCATGATGAGAACAGTGGGCATTTATTCCAGATGAGTATTTTTTCCCTTTGAGTCAAGTTATGGGATTTGACAAGTTCATTGCTGTCGGTAAGTATCACTCAGCATACGACTGAAGAAGGCAGAGCTCTTGAGTCTTCATGGAAACAAGTGCCCTTTTCTTATGGCTGGGATTTCTAGTGTCAACAGTTGTGGAAGAAGAGCAGTGTGTAGAGAAGGGTTCCCTCTGTCCTCTTATGTGTGAGACCCACTGTGGGGATGTCCAGCGGCTGGGGAAACTTTGAAAAGGAGGGTTTGCTGTAAGGCAAGCCTTGTCCTCCCCTGTCCCTGGTGTCGGATGGTGATGTCAGCATGTGTTGTATCAGCATCCTTCAAGTGCAGTGCAGAAGACAGACAGTGACTCTCGGTGTTGTTTTCTTTCAGCATTGGTTTACAGAGCTGCCGCCTGTCTTAACGTTTGAACTGTCAAGATTTGAATTTAACCAGGCATTGGGGAGACCGGAAAAAATTCACAACAAATTAGAATTTCCCCAGGTTTTATATCTGGACAGGTATGGTTTATAGAACATGTTACAGTTTTGCAACTGTTCAGTGCGTGAGGGAGGGGAGCTGTGTAGAGAAAATGTTATCCCTTTCAATCAAAGCTCTACTGATTCATGGTAACTTACTATTTGTCAAGGGACTATGTTCATTTTCTCTTATGAATATATGGTTACACATGCATATTAGGATTTTAAAATAGGTTTGTGTTTTACATATGATTTCTTATAAATTTTCAGTTGATCTTTTGTAGTGATAATTAGATTTAATACTCTGTTTCTGAAATATTTGGAAATACTAATGATCACTAATTTCTTTCCTTGATAGGTATATGCACAGAAACAGAGAAATAACAAGAATTAAACGTGAAGAGATCAAAAGGCTTAAAGATTACCTCACAGTATTACAACAAAGATTAGAGAGGTATTGTTACTTTCATGAAATTATGGTAGGAAAGCATGTGTTTGGTGACTATCTAGATTTTATTTTAAATATGCTTTGGAAAACTTATAGTGGTGGTCATAGATAAACATTCTGGATTTAAATTTGGATTAAATGTTTTAGAAACTAGATTGCATCTCTAATAGGCTTTAGATGATTCTTTTGGAACTTGAAATTAAATATGTGATACTCAGCTTTTCCTTTGGTGCTGTAAGGGGAACCGAGGGAGTCTAGCACAGAGCACGAGATTTGTGTTGTATGGAATGGCAGCTGAATGAGAAGATTCAAGCTCTAGCCTCATTGGCCTCCCAAGCTTCATAGAGCAAACTCACTCAGGAATAAGATCGCCATGAGGGGAGGTCAGGCAGCTCATAGGAGTGGAACCGGAGCCAGTGCTACCAAGTACCCTAAGGGAGGGGCTGTGTGTGCAGATGTTCTCACATCCACAGGACTGCATTGCTTCTTAGGAAACCCCATAAAATGTAGAATGTGGGTGTTGTGAACCCAGATGAGTCTACTGGCTCAAATGCGCTTGGAGTAAGTCCACTTGGTGACCTACTGCTTTTTCTGAGTTCCTCTCATTTGCTTTTAATCTTCACATTAATAACATAAAATGTTGAGTGTGAATATATCCTATTTCCAGTGGGTTTTATTCTTAAAGGTTCTAGTAAATGTGAAAAGTCCTCACAAGGTAAACAATGGTAAAAGTAACTACCTTGATGCTGAGGCCAGTGTAGGATTCAGGGAAGAGAACATTCGCAGATGGTCCATCAGTTTGTCTTCCCACAGATCCACAGTTTAGAACAGTGTCTTCCAACTGATCCACGGTTTAGAACAGCATCTTCCCACTGATCCACAGTTTAGAACAGCGTCTTAGGTACATCCATACTCATGGCTTTCCGTCTTGATCAGCTTTGCTGTCCTTCCTTTAAGAATGTTCAGTGCATTTCTTTAATGTATATTCAGTTTCATCTTCTTCCTTAGAAAGCATGCAAGTTTCATTTCTGATTTATTGTCTTGTTTCATTTTATAAGTCCTACTTCAAAAACCAAATGTGCTGACAACATAGATAAAACACTGATATATTTTATTAACAGATATTTAAGCTATGGTTCCGGTCCCAAAAGATTCCCCTTGGTAGATGTTCTACAGTATGCATTGGAATTTGCCTCTAGTAAACCTGTTTGCACCTCTCCTGTTGATGATATTGATGCTAGTTCCTCAACTAGTGGCTCCATACCATCACAGTCTTTACCAAGGTAATGTTTTCTAATACAACATGCTACTGTGACCTGCATCCTGCAATGCATTCAAGCAGGGCTTTATAAAATGTACTTATTGTGATTAACTTCAACTAACCTTCTAAAAGGGTAGATTCACGTAGAAGATTATTCTTTATTATTTCAGTAGTTCAATGGTTATCGATTGGAATTTTCATAAACTTTTTTCTGTTGAAAATTATACTTTGCAATGTTTTGGTCTGTAGTTTTTGAACCTTTTATGATATGTGAAACAGTTCTATTAGAGTAGAATTTGTTTCTGTTAATGTAAGTTGGTATTAGCAAGAGATCTTTAATTAGAGCATGCATTAGATTTCCCATTTAAAGACAGAAAGATAAATCTTACTTTACAGTCACAATTTCATCTTTATGAGGCTTTAGTCCTCAGGTACTAAGTGTTTCATCAGGATATTAGATCTGTGTCTTAAGATCGTTTCCTCTAGAAATTATGAGAGGCTCTGATGCTATCTATGTATTTGGCCTAGTCTGCTCCAGAGTTTCAGTTTGGAAGTTTAATCAGTAGTGTATTCTTTGAAAATACAGCACAACAGAGCAGCAGGGAGCCCCTGCTTCAGAACTGCCCAGCTCCTCACCTGCATCAGGTGCTGCCCTGTCCTTGAGGACAGTGATACACAAACCCTTCACTCAGTCTCGGATACCTCCAGATTTGCCCATGCATCCGGCACCAAGACACATAACAGAAGAGGAACTGTCTGTGCTGGAGAGCTGTTTACATCGCTGGAGGACAGAAATAGAAAATGACACACGAGGTAAGAGCTTCCCATAGTGGGCTCCTCTCACTTCAGATGACGTCGGACACTGATAGGAAAAGCACTTCTGGATTTCATACTTAAACACTAGTATTTTTTGTTTCAATCTTTCCTGAGAAGATTTTATGTGAGAGAAACTGATCTGGCTCTCCAGTTTATGCTGTGAGTGTCAGATTCACAGGGACCAAAGGGTTTCCTCAGATTACTTAGCTGATTAATGATATAACAGATGGCCTGATTTGCAGTCTAGTGTTCTAAATTTATATCAAACTGGCATTCACAGCTACTCCATTGGTGAAATGTCACAGAGCCTCAGAATTTGTACTGAAGTTTTCTACTTTATGATTTTCGCATAATGGAAAGGGGATAACTGTCTTTAGGTGTAAGAATTTAAAAAGCGAATTTTCATTTTTGTTTGCTTTTTTCTAAATCGTACTTGAGATTGAACCTGGAGGTTTATTCATGCTAGAGATGCTGAGCCTTAGAATTTTAATTTTTAAATCTGGTCTAACAGATTTGCAGAAATGATCCATGATCTCAGTGCCAATAAGTATGATTTTCAGGCCATATGCAGCCAAATAAGAAAAATAAGGGTTTTATGTGTGGGAGTGTTTGTGCATGAACACATACTTACTGTACTGCTGAGTTACCTGTCTTTCTTAAAAGAAACTTTGAACTCATCTCTTTATTTTTTGGTTAAATTATACTCTTTATTTTAACAAAATAATATTTCATGGTGGACTATAGTATAGTTTTTTTTCCTTGTCGAAATATACCCTACTAACTCTAAAGTATTATTTTATATTAAAAGGATAAAATTACATTAAACAGCCATAATTGTCTTATAGTCAAACTGACTCTTATGGATAAGTAAATTGTCACAGTTTATAGAGCAAATAATTGTACTGTTAGCATTAGTAACTAGAGGGTTTGTCTTAATATTGTAATATCATATAAAATAATTTTAATATTAGAATTTGCTAAAATTAATTAAGCATCGTGTTTATTGAATACTGTAGTAAGTGTTGTATAATTTCCTTCTGGACATGGCAAATGGTGGACACTAATAAACTTTTGACAGAAAGGTACTGCATCAAGGGACAAAAGAAATGAAAGTTTCTGAAATATTATTCAGTGACAGTACACATGGAGATTAATGACCACAGGCACGAGAGAGAAATCATTGGTCCCTTTAGTTCACAGTAGCATAAATAACTAAATAAACATTTGAAAAGACAAATTGGTGTTCCCTACCTGGAAGAGGAAGAAAGGATGATGAGAAAGGATTCATTCTTTGTCATTTTAGATAGATGAGCTTGAGGACATTCATGTCATAAGATCTTGTGGATACCATGCTGTGGGTCAGGAAGGACTCATTTACTCCACATGTTTTCTGTCTTTAATTTCTATTGCTACAACATACTAACTTTGATTTTTAAATTGCTGTGTAGTATCCCAACGTACAGGAACAATGTATTTAATATCCATGTGTTAACTACATACAGTGTTGGCCTACTATATATACATATGCATATGTATAAGTATATGTGTATATATATAAACATACATATACACATAATAGTCTTCAATAAATAGAGTATTTTTTAAGATAACATTTTTCAGCTAAGGTACAGTGTAGGTTTTAAAATTATGACTCTGTTTTAAAATAGTTCTGTTTGAGAGCGTACTCAGGATATTCCCAAACCCTGGGGGTATTTTACTCTGGAGTAGTCTGGTAGGTCATAAATGTCATTTCAGTTTCTTGATTACTTTACCTTAATTATGATTGCATTGAGTGTTTATATTTTTTTTAAAATGTCTTATCTCATTTTTTTTCATTTTGGAAACATTTTGGACAGTTTATTATATACCAAAACTGAAATGCTGAAAAGTATTATATACATTGTTTATTCCCTGTAACAACTTGTGAAGTAGTTCATTTACCTATATTTTGTATTACGCATTTTTTCCAATTCTTATTTCTTAAAAGATGGTATACTTGGCCGGGCGTTGGTGGCGCACGCCTTTAATCCCAGCACTCGGGAGGCAGAGCCAGGCGGATCTCTGTGAGTTCGAGGCCAGCCTGGGCTACCAAGTGAGCTCCAGGAAAGGCGCAAAGCTACACAGAGAAACCCTGTCTCGAAACCCCCCCCCCCAAAAAAAAAGATGGTGTACTCTATTTGAGACATTAATCTTTTTGCCCACAGTGCATGCTATAGGTAGTATTTTCCCAGTTTGTCATTTGATCTTTATGCTGGTTTTTGTTTGGCATTACTGGTTATTTTTCTCTCATTTTTCATTTCTTGTGTGTGGGTGTTTTGCTTCCATGTATTTTGATGCATCACTTGTGGGCAGTGCCTCTGGAGACCAAAAGTGGGCATCAGATCCCCCTAGGATTTGTCATGGGGGTGCTGGGAATTGAACCCAGGTCTTCTGAAAGAGCAATCAGTGCTCTTAACCAACGAGTCATCTCTGCAGCCCTCTTTTTTTTTTTTTTTTGTAACATTGATTAAAGTTTTAGGTGTTTGGAGGGGGTTGATTTTATGTTTTTCCTTTATGGTTTCTTGATTTTCTATCAGGCTAGAGTAGGTCTTCCCAGAGTGTGAAGTTACTAATATCTTCTAGTAGTCTTTTCTGACTCCTTTTTGGTGCTCATCAACCAATTAGTACTATATTGTGATTATATGATATTTTAATGTATTGATATAGTTACTTCTGTTATCCCGATTTTGAAATTAGGAGAAATGTAGCTGAGGACACCCAGTCTTTAAAGAGTTTTATGGGATTCTTTTCTGCAGTTCTTAACTACGCTCTATTTCCTTTGGTTATTTTACTGTTGCAGTCACTTATGTGTTCACAAACACATGGTGGATTTTTTTCTAAAAAGTCTCCAGTGCTATGTATGGGGTGGTGAGTGGTAACGTTCCTTGAAAGCTTTCTGGAGGTTTGAGTGTGGTTTGATTGCCTGGTCTCTTCATACTTCCTAGATGAGTCCTATTTTTGTATTTTTAACTGTATCTCTGTGCTGAATAGCATCTGACTTCACACAGACTCCAATGGTAACATTTTAAAGAATAGTTTAGGAAACCTTTCTTCTTCTCTAGTGTAATTACGAGAGAACCTAGGTCCTTCTCTTCTTACTCTCAGTAGAAACCCACGTGACATTTGTCATCCATTAAGCCACATCTTCTGTTTATAGATCTACAGGAAAGCATATCCAGAATCCATCGAACCATTGAACTTATGTACTCTGACAAATCCATGATCCAAGTAAGTGAATGCTGAACTACCGTCATTGTTAGAACTGCTGACATACATTAACCCATCTTTATATTGTTTTTAAAGATTTGTTTTTAATTATGTGTTTGTTTGTGTATATTTTGGTGCCTTTGGAGGCCAAAGGTGTTGAATAACTTTAGAGCTGGAGTCACAGACAGTTGTGAACTGCTGCACATGTGTGCTGAGAAAAAAAGTCAGGTCCTCTGGAGGAGCAACCAGTGCTTTTGACTGTTGGGCTATCCTTCCATCCTCTCACCTTCATCTTGTTTATCTTATACTAGTTCCCATTACATGTTTTGTCATACAACTGGGAGATATCTTATTATAATATGCGGTATATTTGGTATTATAGCATAAACTAACAGGAGAGAATTTCTGATAACATTTTTAACACATTTCCTTCATGCTGTACCTAGCTTACTTTACAAAAAAAAAAAAAAAAAAATTTACAAACCATTTTCCAAACATCTTAATTAAAAAAATTACCTCCATTGGGAGAAAGCATGACCATTTAAAGATACATAATTTTAGGAGAACTCTGAAGCTCAGTTAAACTTGAACTTCTAGCTAGGAGTTGTAGCACACACCTTTAAAGCCAGCACCCAGGATGTTGAGGCACATGGCTCTCTGTGGGTTTCAGGTCAAGGAGGGCTACATGGAAAGTAGGCCCCCCACTAGCACACACAGGCATATTTTCGGTTACTTACACGTTTTAGATATATTTTACTTCATTTAACTTCTGTAGATCCTGCTCCCAGATAATTTGCATGATTGTTTGTTCTGTTGTTTTCCTCAAAAACTTGAATACTATTTAGAAAATGTGCCCCACCCACCCAGTTTTCCTCAAATAGGCAGTTTTCAGATTTCCTTGGAATAGAATATAAAAGACTGTACACTTGAAGTTCAACTTTGTTTTTCTTTCCATGTTAGGTCCCTTATCGGCTCCATGCTGTCCTAGTTCACGAAGGCCAGGCTAATGCCGGGCACTACTGGGCATACATTTTTGACCATCGTGAAAGCAGATGGATGAAATACAATGATATTGCCGTGACCAAGTCATCATGGGAAGAACTAGTAAGGGACTCCTTTGGTGGTTATAGAAATGCCAGTGCATACTGTTTAATGTACATAAATGACAAGGCACAATTCTTAATACAAGGTAAGATGCTGTATCATCACTGTTACTATTACTTAGAGATTACGTGTTTATTTCTACGTAGGAGTGTTTTACCTGCATGTATGAAAGGGCACTGTGTCAGAGCCTGGTGTCTGTGTGCCCACCAGAAGACAGAGTGGATCCCCTAGAACTGGAGTTATAGACGGTTGCTGTGAGCCACCATGTGGGTGCTGGGGACTGTACCCAGGTCCTCAGGAACAGCAAGTGCTTTTAACTGCTCAGCCCCAGAGTGACGGATATTTGAATAAAGAACTTGCTGTGACTGTTTGGCTGTGTGATGAATTCATGCAGAGGGTGGAGAATATGATAAGAAGTATTCCTTGGTGACAGATGTGAGAAGCTGGATTGAGGAAGTAATACAACCTTAAGTTAGTTAGACTTCGGCAATGGGACCCATGCAGTCATATTGTACTCAGAGCTAAATAGTAAATGGAAATCTGTTTTCCTCCATAGGTGAGAGCTCTTTGGTTACTGCATCAACACATTAGCTGACATTTGACCGCCCAGCCTAGCACAGAAGGCTTGTGTTTTCTGGCTTGGACATTTCCTCCAGTTTCACTCATCACTGCCCATTTTGAACTATTTAGCTACTTTACTGACATTTGAACTTCACATCATCTCCTCTTGCAAAGTTTTTTGTAACTTTCCCAAACCGTTTGTTCACGTGGTCTCAAGCAGATTTCTTCCATTGGACAGTTTTGTGTGTGTGGCTAGCCTTGCACACTGTAATCGGCTTGGCTCAGAGCCCAAGTCCCTGGGAGTCTTCTCATATCTGTTACTCTAATGTGGGCTTTGCATAAAGAGAGCACCCAGTAAAGGCTCTGAAGAGATGTGGTCAACTTCCTGCTGTCCCCTGCCCAGGCTGTCCGTTTCTAACTAGATAGAGTTTATATTTTATGTATAGTGTGAGTTGACTATTTAAGTAGTAGTTACACGTTGTTTCAGAACATCTTCCTGCATTGGTAAGCTTCGTAAGTTTACGTGCTTTTGTGTTAGAGTTAACTCTTTAACATGAAAAACAGTTTCTGTTCTCTGTAGATAGAGCCTAACAAAGTCATGGATTGCTTCTTACTTCTATGAAAAGGCTGCTTTCTGCCTAATTGGAGATTGGAGATGATTTCTTATATCAGCAAAAATGATATTACGTCAGTGTTAGAGTCACAAAAGATCTTAATCCTATATTGTGTCTCATCGTCACTCTTGAGACTCTAGAAGTTTGTGTTATTGTCAGATCCCTTAGGTCATTTTCAAATAATCATGCCATTGTTTGAGCACTTTTTGACTTTTAAAGAAAATGCGGGTAATATTGTTTGCTATAACTACATGTAATAACTAATAGTCAATATTGTTTGCTATAACTACATGTAATAACTAATAGTCTGCAGTTTATAGTCCATTTGAAATGCATTCTATTTTGAGCTTTGCATTTCCCCTTTAATCCTTAATTTTATAGTAGTTTTTGAAATATGATTTGCAGAGGAGTTTAATAAAGAGACTGGGCAGGCCCTTGTTGGAATAGAAACGTTACCACCAGATTTGAGAGATTTCGTTGAGGAAGACAACCAGCGATTTGAGAAAGAACTACAAGAATGGGATACCCAGCTCGCCCAGAGAGCATTGCAAGAGAAGCTTCTAGCTGCTCAAAAGCTGAGGGAGGCGGAGTGTTCTGCTGCTACAGGTTTGTCCATTTGTATTGTATTTTATTATCAAATTATAACATTGATTACTATTGTGTTTTATTATAAGATATGCTCACGGATATGCTCAGTTGTTGGGCCATGTGCTCATTACCCAATTTTTTTTTTTTAAAGACAAAAATGTTGCCAGGCGGTGGTGGTGCACGCCTTTAATCCCAGCACTCGGGAGGCAGAGGCAGGCGGATCTTTGTGAGTTCGAGGCCAGCCTGGTCTACAGAGCGAGATCCAGGAAAGGCGCAAAGCTACACAAAGAAACCCTATCTCGAAAAACAAACAAACAAAAAAGACAAAAATGTTAGTCAAAACTAAGTATTTAAAACGATTTTCCAAGCTAAAAATGGTATATAGTCCATGAAAACTGGCACATGTATAAGAAATCAAAGCATGAACTGTAACTATGATCGCATATAAAGGAGCAATAGAATTTAGTGAAGGTCTGGCACTCGCTGTACCCACCGGTCAGAGCTTCCTTGCTCCTTGGCCGACAGCACTGCACATCATTACCCTTTTCAAGATGATCGCTCAGATTCCTCTGCCTGCTTTGAGCCAGTGGCTGTCCTCTTGGCGGGAAGCAGGATAGCTGTGATGAGGAAAGATGTAAATGGACTTACTGGGGCTATTGAGAAAGAGCGCTCCAGATACCCACATTTACTTTATAATACTGGGATAGCAACGTTAATTCGGGTTCTTTTCTTTTTTTAAATTGAGATTACAAAATAGGGTTGGGAACATAGCTCAGTAGCAGGGCAATAAGATCAATACCCAGTTTCTACAAAAGATAAAATAATTCCAGTAAGAACTTCCTGTGATGACAGAGGTGATTCTCACTATAAGAAAAACTAGAATTGAGACTGCTTAAAGCATTAGTAGCAAGGAAGGAGAGAATTAAAAGACGTTAATTCCCTCTGTACCTAACTATTTCCTGATTGGGACTATATGTCCCATGCTCCTATAAAGGACAGGGTAGAGACAGTCCTAGGCCACTTACAACTAGACAGTGCATCTCTTTCTGTAAGATTTCTTACAGGTATCTTAGGCTTTATACTTAGGACTTAACAGAAATTTGCCAAGAAAGTGTTCTCCTGGGTTTTCCAGTTTCTTTTCACCATACAGCAAGAAGAATGGCCGACAGAATAGTGAGCTTAGCACACTAATAGTGCACAATAGTGAGCTTAGCACACTAATGGCAAAGCAAAGAATCTGGCCAGACCCTGGTCTAACTATCAGGCCAAGAGCTTCTGAATATTAAGCACCTCAGAGTAAGAATAACTTTTTGATGAACACAGTCAAATCTGTTATAGTTCATGGGGCCAAGGTTTCCTTGTATGTAGAAATCTGATTTAAAAAACTTTATGGATAACATTAAATAATTTTGACTGAGTGTCATCCAGAACCACTTTCTCTGGTTAGACTAAAACAACTGACATAAATATTTATATATTTCAGGTATTTTAATTTCTCAGGAAATCAAGATAAACCTATAGTCTATTATATTACAACATATTAAATGTAATGCCTATAACCTTCTATAAATGGACTGTGGACTCAATATACACACTTGGGAGAGTTCTGCCTATCAATAAAGACGTTTTTCAAGATAAGCCAGCTGATTTGTGTCTTGAAACTTGTACCCAGGATTATTTTGGGAATGAAATGTGTCCAGGCAGAAGAAATGGTTTATGGAAAACATTTTTAAGGATCAATAAAAGACTCATAAAAAAATCTTGATATAAATCACATTAATAAGCAAATTAAAAATTTAGTACAACCTAAGATGGGTTATAAAAACTTGGCAGTGAAAATAGATTGGAGTGATCTTGAAAGGATTCATAAAGTCTTTGGGATAGTCAAAAGATCTTAAAAAATGGCCAAAGTCATAAATACTGACAGCAATGTCACTATTGTAGGAAAGTTCCCTACATGTGAGAGCTATGAAGAACAGGGTGAAGGGGCAAAAAGGGACTAGCGAACCAGTCCTAGAAAAGTAATCAAAGAACCAGTGATACACAAGGGAAAAAAAGAGATTTATTACCTTGACTTCCTAGGAGCCATACTCACCACATGCACGCTGACAGAGATAAAGAGAATTCCTAGAGAGAGAGATCATCTTCTCCATTCTAAGAATGTAGTCAAGCACTCCCTAGACACAGCCTTGAGAGAGCAATGTTACGCTGGCTGTGAGCAAACAATTGGGGAACTCTTGAGTCTTTGTATTTCCAGGTCTCTAAACTCAGCTGTAGGACGTTGAGTTACACTTCAAGTTACTCCATAACCGCAAGGGGCATTACTTTGTTGTATTTTAAGATTTGTCAGTCTGTGGGATGCTGTCCATTCTCTAGTGGATGGAGCTCAAGGCCCATGTGCTTTGGACAGCATTAATTGGACATAGTGGGTTAAGAAAAGGGATGGGTTGGAAAAGATTTAAATACGGTTGGAAAAGATTTAAACACATTATATTCATGTCTTAAATTATCAGAGTAATTTTTAAAAAATTGCCATTGTCTTTTACTAAGAATGAAAACTAGCAAAGCCAGTATTGAAATTTCCACAAAGAAAAATTAAATTTGGAAAGCATTCAAAGGACATATACTACATAGTGTTCATTAAACTAATGATGTAGATATAAAAAAGGATAGCACCTAGTCCCTGCTGTATGAGAACAGGACATTACCAGGGACATTTACTTTCTACCAGATCTTATTCTTCTTCCCTTATTTTGAACCTGTAAGTCTGATTTTATAGAAAAGTCCAGCCAGAGAGGGTTTTTTTCCTGTTACATTTACATAAATTTATCAAACCTTGTGATATATTTGCTAAGCACTTTGACAACATTTTCTACCTATAAATTAGTTTCTTGCTGTGCTTCACTTTGAATCTGACTATGCTACCCACATTGTGAGGAATCAGATACTTTTGTGGACTAATAATAAAATCAATGCAATAGTAATTCAGGAAATACTCTTCCCTGCTTTCGGATCCTGGGTTAGATAAAAGTCTATAGCTATAAGGAGTAAGATGTATGCCTCAGAATTATCAGGAGATTTGTAAAGAGCATACTCTAGAGCCTTCCTAAATTATTTTCAGTTGTGAAGAACTTTTGCCCAGGACTATAAGGAGTTCTCTTTCCTCTTCTTCTCAGTGCTAGAGTTACAGGTGTGAGCCCAAGTCCACGGTAACGATATTTTAATTTAAATACATGCAGAATATTCCTTTACACTGTGTGAAGACATGGAAAGGAAACAGGAGGTGCAAGAAGAAAGAGAAGTAATGCCATGTGGCAGAATGTAGATTAACACCACAAAACGTATGCTCTGTTTCAGAGGAGTTTACGTGTCATAATTGAGTAAGGCTAATATTTCAGGACAGTTGTTTATCTCATTATTAATAGAGAAAATTTAGTGCTTGTGCCACCTTCTTGTTTGTCTTCATAGTTTTCAACGTAAGTAATTTGTTTAATCTGCTATAGTATTTTAGAATCTTAAAGAGACCTGGCATGTCAGTCTCTTGGGTGTGCCCTAGGATTATGAATGAATAGTATTGATAATGAAGGAAACTCTGTTCAAATACTCTAGCAATGGGATTTTCTCTTTCCTCCTTGCAAGCTTTTCTCAGTAATCAATGAAGGATCCACTTACTGACATTTCAATAAAGATATTTAAATAAAAAATCATTAGTGTCTTAGGGATTCTATTGATGTGAAGAGACACCATGACCACAGCAACTTCTATAAGGGAAAACATTTAATTGGGTGGCTTTGTTTTTTTTCTTTTCTTTTTTCTTTTTGGTTACTTTTTGTTGGTAAGTTCTCGCAATACATTGAAGCTCACATTTGACAGCACAGACTTAACTTGGTTATTGTCTAACTTCTGAATTAGAAATAAGCTCTTGGTCTTCATATAGAGTCTTGTGGTCTATGGTAGATGTATAATTATTCCTTTCTCTTGAAGCACAAGCAGGAGGATCAGACTATTTAGATCAGCCATCAAGAAGTGACTTCTCAAAGCACTGGAAAGAAGACACCATCCGAGTGATTGCCAAAGCATCACATGAGCATGAAGATAAAGGTCCTGAGACAGTTTTGCAGTCGGTAAGAACATTTAGGGTGGCTCCTGGAACACAGCATTCCCACAGTGTAGTGGAAAAGCACCCTGACTGGGAGTCAGGGGGTGCTCTGGCTCTGCTGTGACATGATCTGGGAGCATGGGCTGCCACTTCCTCAGCTTACATTTTCAATACAATTCTCTCCTGAGCTTCTATTTTCCTGTCAGAAAAATAAGAAGACTCAGTGGTCACAGACCCAATTGGCCATTTGAGTTGGAATTTAAAGAGAAGTATAAAGCTAAATGGCAGTTTTCATGTTCCCCTCTTTCCCGGTCTGTGATCTGCAAACCCTGGAATAATTAGGATTTAAGAGAGTTGTCATTGTTCTGTGGAAAGGGTTTAACAAGAAGTGAGAGTATTATTATAAAATGAATATGATGTGCAGTTTGTGAGTGTCCTGGGCACAAATTGTCACTGTCATCTCAGAGTCGTGTAGTTTACAGTTTGTTTTATGGGAGCAAATTGAGCCCAGAAATATGGGGTTACGCCATCAGTGAGTATGAGTTTGGAAAACACGTGGCAATTTTGTACTGCAAAACCACAATGTCCTGTGGTCACCCCACCCCAATTTTAGAAGTGAATATAACCAGCCCCAATGCAGGCTTTATGGGAGTTCCTTTAGGATGTGAAGATCGTCTTTGTAGAGAACTAAAGCAAGTCAGGTACTTCAGAGGTCATGTCAGTCTCAACAATAGCCTGCTAAATTAAGACCCCGATTAACCAAAATTCCCAATAATTAAGACATTCTACTAGCTGTGTTGTAATGAACTAAATAATAACCAGAAATTCTTTTACTTTCACTTCCAGCTTGAAAATATATTACAACCTTTCTAATATGAAAATTAATTTAAATCTATTTTGTTTTATGACTATAAGTTCTACAAATGTCTTAGAATCTGTAAATGAATTTAAGACTGGTAACTCTAAAGCTTTTCTTGGAAAGTATTTTGCTTCATGAGTCTGAAAAGGGGATCACGATAACCTGGGAACAAGGACAGACAGTGGATATGGGGAAACACCTTCATAGTTATAAAATTTTAAATTAGGTCTTTGTAAATTGGCCCCTTGAGTTATTAAAGGCTAAGGTATGTCTTGCTTTTAGCTTGGCTTAGAAAACCAAAAACATACTTTAGTGTAATGTGGAATTATGTTTCATTTTAGTTCAGCTAATCATAAATGTTTTAGCTCACACATGTCATCATACAAGTTTGCATGACTTAGATGTCTTGGTGTGGGCATCATCTTATAAATTAGCAATGTACTGCCTCTTATCTACTTGAAAAAGGAAGAGAGACAAGAGAATGTGATGAGAAAGCTAATTGTATTCCACATTGATTGTCTTGTTAAGTAGCGCCTCCATTGCCTCCATTGTCTCAGAAATCTGAACTTGTTGAAGAACTTGTAAGCATTGGCTATCTCAACAGCTTGTGGTCCTTGGACTCAGCATCATTGCTTAGGAACCTAGCAACCATTTCTTGTTATATTTTCTCATTTCTACTTAACATATATTAGAAACTACAATGAGAAAGTTCAGGCTTTAGATAGGCATTTCTTTGACTTTTGTGTATGAATTTCACTTCTTAGTAGACATACAATCTTGAGTAAACTTTTTATTTGAGTTTCAGTTTTCCTTCTTTCTGTAAATTTGAAGTGACTGTAGTTATCGTGGGATTTGTTTGTTTTGTCTGGTTTTGATAACAGGTATCGGGGTGCTGGTCCCTTCACCTCAGCTCTAGGTGTTTCACAAATACTCAGTACCTTAAGTAGGCATGACTCCCTGTAAAACGAAGAATTGCAGAAGCTAAGCTATCAATATTCTCCAAATGTCCAGGCAGCTTGCTTTGCAGAATTGCTTTGATTTCTAAGTGAACACTTTAGGATATGTAAGACTGTGGAAAGCCGATGGCAAGAAAGAATCACTATGCCTGGTTTTAGTCATTCGCCAGTGGTCAGTCACTGTCAACTTGGGCTTTTCTCCTTTTCTTTTGTTTTAAATAGATTTTCGAGATTGCTAGCATGGTTGAAGCATGATATTGTATGTCTTACCTCTCTTCTTTTATTCACCTAAACTTACAAGGCCATGGGACTGGACTAGGCCCTCTACATAAGCCAGACAGTTGTGTAGCTTGATCTGCTTAATGGACCCCCTGGCAATAGGATCAGGATCCATCCCTGGTGCATGAGCTGGCTTTTTGGAGCCCACTACCTATGGTGGGACACCTGGCACAGCCTTGATGCAGGAGGAGGGGCTTGGACCTGCCTCAACTGAATGTACCAGGCTCTGCTGACTCCCCATTACCTTTTAGAAGGGACTGGGGGGTGGGTTGGGAGGGAAGTCTCGGGAAGGGCAGAGGAGGGAAGAGGCGGGGATCTGTGATTGGTATGTAAAATGAATAAAAAAATTTCTTAAGATAAAAAAAGAATAGTTCCTCATGTTACAAACTCAGTAAAAAATTGCTGAATATTTTCCCACTCAATAACTGAAATTTTGTATACTTACCCAATTCCATTGTATATTTGTTTCTACTTTTACATTATTATAAACAGGCCATTATAATAAAAAAAGTTTCTACACATTTTACATGTTTTCTTAGACTAGATTCCCTGTATTTAATTGTTATATTAAAGAGGGTGTAATGTAAATGTTCAAAAGTGATACCTGTTCTCAAAACAAAAACAAAGCCTACTCATTTACTCCACAGTCTCTTCAGTTTTACTGAAAGAAAGAAAACTGAAACCTAAAGACACAGTTTACTCTGGATTATATTTCTAGTCAGAAGTAAAATCTAAAGCTCTGAGACTTTATCACTCCCTTCTATGAGAACATTTTTACAAGATCATTCAGGCAGAGTTTCGGACTATTTTAATTAATTCTATGGTGGTAACTGAGGACCCTCCTAATTTTATAGCCATTGTTTTGGTTTTGTTAATTGTTAAGCCTCACTAGGAGGCTTGAAATAATAGAAAATGAAAAATAAGCATTTATTTTACTTTCGTGCATCCTCAC